TCGGAGACCATGAATTTTTCACGAAAAATCGAAAGGGTATAGCCTTCAAAAATTTTTGCATAAAATTTTTTTCGTCTCCGATTTCGCTGAAATTTGGTACAGAGAATCAGGATGTAAAACGTAATGTCGGAGTGGTGTCTGTTACTCAATATCTCTCCTCGTTCAGAAGTTGGAAAAAGGTGCTCCGATTTGGACGAAACGTTGCGTGCAGTAAGTAGAAGACAAGTACGTTTGAAAAAAGTCAGATGCAGTTCTCTAAGTTTGCTAATTATTACAAAACAAGCCTCTACTTTTTAACCATTTATGTTAGCGAGAAACAGACTGTTTTTCTGAACGTTTTAAAGCGAATACTATCTACTGTCCGATTTTCAGCTCAATCGGAGACAATGAATTTTTCACGAAAAATCGAAAGGGTATAGCCTTCAAAAATTTTTGCATAAAATTTTTTTCGTCTCCGATTTCGCTGAAATTTGGTACATAGAATCAGGATGTAAAACTAAATGTCGGAGTGGTGTCTGTTACTCAATATCTCTCCTCGTTCAGAAGTTGGAAAAAGGTGCTCCGATTTGGACGAAACGTTGCGTGCAGTAAGTAGAAGACAAGTACGTTTGAAAAAAGTCAGATGCAGTTCTCTAAGTTTGCTAATTATTACAAAACAAGCCTCTACTTTTTAACCATTTATGTTAGCGAGAAACAGACTGTTTTTCTGAACGTTTTAAAGCGAATACTATCCACTGTCCGTTTTTCAGCTCAATCGGAGACCATGAATTTTTCACGAAAAATCGAAAGGGTATAGCCTTCAAAAAATTTTGCATAAAATTTTTTTCGTCTCCGATTTCGCTGAAATTTGGTACAGAGAATCAGGATGTAAAACGTAATGTCGGAGTGGTGTCTGTTACTCAATATCTCTCCTCGTTCAGAAGTTGGAAAAAGGTGCTCCGATTTGGACGAAACGTTGCGTGCAGTAAGTAGAAGACAAGTACGTTTGAAAAAAGTCAGATGCAGTTCTCTAAGTTTGCTAATTATTACAAAACAAGCCTCTACTTTTTAACCATTTATGTTAGCGAGAAACAGACTGTTTTTCTGAACGTTTTAAAGCGAATACTATCTACTGTCCGATTTTCAGCTCAATCGGAGACAATGAATTTTTCACGAAAAATCGAAAGGGTATAGCCTTCAAAAATTTTTGCATAAAATTTTTTTCGTCTCCGATTTCGCTGAAATTTGGTACATAGAATCAGGATGTAAAACTAAATGTCGGAGTGGTGTCTGTTACTCAATATCTCTCCTCGTTCAGAAGTTGGAAAAAGGTGCTCCGATTTGGACGAAACGTTGCGTGCAGTAAGTAGAAGACAAGTACGTTTGAAAAAACACAGATGCAGTTCTCTAAATTTGCTAATTATCACAAAACAAGCCTCTACTTTTTAACCATTTATGTTAGCGAGAAACGGACTGTTTTTCTGAACGTTTTAGAGCGAATACTATCCACTGTCCGATTATCAGCTCAATCGGAGACCATGAATTTTTCACGAAAAATCGAAAGGGTATAGCCTTCAAAATTTTTTGGTCAAATTTTTTTTTCCTCAGATTTTGATGCAAATTTGGGTACATATAAAAGAAAGCATGACAAATTACAGGGTGGACTCGGTTGCTTTGTATCTATAACCGTTTAATGTTTTTTTCGTTTTTCTCAGTAACTAATTATTCAATTACCTTGTAAATAAGCACAAATGTAGAGCAGGACAGATACATCAGGGTGCTGTTTTCCTTTCTTCTCTATCTCCAGCAGTTTTGGAGATATTAAAGTTCAAAACTTCAAACGCGAATATCTCGGAAACGGTAAGAGATAGAGCAAAATGACCCAGTGGTCCACGGGCAGACCCTAAAATGAAGTATGTAGGGAGCTCTATCGACCCACGCAATAAAAACAATTTTTTTTTCCAAAATTTCAAAAAATTTTCAAAAGTCCACTTTTCGTCGATTTCAGATTTCATAGTCGAAAGAAATTTACTTACCGGCACTATTCAAGTTCAAAAACTTTTGGTAAAATTTTTTTTTCCTCAGATTTTGATGCACATTTGGGTACATATAAAAGAAAGCATGACAAATTACAGGGTGGACTCGGTTGCTTCGTTTCTGTAATCGTTCAATGGTTTCTTCGTTTTTCTCAGTCACTAATTATTCTTTTTTTTTTTTCCTTTTTTTTATTTATATTCTTTTTTTCTTTTATAATTTTTTTTAATTTTTTTCTTTTATAATTTTTTTCTTTTTTATTTATATTTTTCTTTTTTTGTTTTGTTTTTTTTTTTTGTTTTGTTTTTTTTTTTTTTGTTTTGTTTTTTTTTTTTGTTTTTTTGTTGTTTTTTGTTGTTGTTTTTTTTTGTTGTTTTTGTTTTTTTTTGTTTTTTCTTTTGTTCTTCAATAGAATTCGTCGCAAAAATCCAGGTTTTCGATTTCTCCCACTTCCTACTTTTCGTTGTGTGCATTTTTAGGAGCACAGAGTCCTTTTGTGAAGAACGTTTAGGAGAACTATGTTCAAAAAGGATGGTTTTATCTTATTTCGACATAATTCCCAATTTTTTTATGTAGAATTGCCAAATCGCGCTCAAAAACATAAAATTTTCAAATTTTAAATTGTAGGTAAATGTTGAAATAAGAATTATTATTAAAATATAAATATTTTAAGATATTTGAGCATCGAACCTTGGCAATTCTGACTATACTGATTCCACTAACTTTTTCTTTACATTTTAGGTAGGACACTTTTCTAATTAATAAGCATAATGAATAAAAATCAATTTATTAAAAAAAAAACATACAAATCCAATATTAAAAAAAATATATGAAGTAGCTGGGACTATCGGGCTGCTACATAATCCAAGTTATCATTTACTAGATACCATTGCGCCCCTAACGTAATAAAAAATGTGATTTCTGAAACAAAAAACGCCCAGTATAAGTATAAAAATAAACATAAAAGGTCTACAACAAAAACCATCAAGTTCTATGAAATAATAAAAAAAACCTAAAGACGTGTTGTCCGTATGTTTGTCTCTGCGCGTGGCTGCGTCTATCTACGGCTGGCTGCGTCTATCTACGTCTGGCTGCGTCTAAAGGCATCTGGATACATCTAGATGCGTTTGGCTACCTCTAGCTGCATCTGGCTGCCTCTAGCTGGGTCTAGACCCGTCTATCTACGTCTGGCTGCGTCTAGATGCCTCTGGCTGCGTCTAGATGCGTCTGGCTACCTCTAGCTACGTCTGGCTGCGTCTAGAGTTATCTGGCTGCGTCTAGAGTTATCTGGCTGCATCTAGATGCGTTTGGCTACCCCTAGCTGCATCTGGCTGCGTCTAGCTGCGTCTAGCTGCCTCTAGCTGCGTCTAGACGTATATATCTACATCTGGCTGTGTCTATCTACATCTGGCTGTATCTATCTACGTCTGGCTGCGACGTTCTACGGCTGGCTGCGTCTAGATGCATCTGGCTACCTCTAGCTGCGTCTGGTTGCCTCTAGCTGCGTCTAGACGCGTCCATTTACGTCTGGCTGCGTCTAGAGGTATCTGGCTGCATCTAGATGCGTTTGGCTACCTCTAGCTGCGTCCGGCTGCGTCTGACTGTGTGTGGCTGCGTCTAACCGAAAACGGGAAGAGTTGTGTAATAAATATAAAAAATTATAGTGGTTGATGAATAGAAAATCAAAACTAACCTAACCTAACGTAATAAAGAATGTGATTTCTAAAACAGAAAACGCACAGTATAAATGTAAAAATAAACGTAAAAGGTTCACAGCAAAAATCATCAAATTTTTCAGAAGAGCAATAATAATAAAAAAAAACGTGTTGTCCGTCTGTTTGTTTTTGCGCCTGGCTGCGTCTATCTACCGCTGGCTGCGTCTGATTGCGTCTATCTACGTGTATCTACTTCTGACTGCGACTATCTACGTCTGGCTGCGTTTAGATGCATCTGGCTACTTCTAGCTGCGTCTAGATACGTCTGGCTGCCTCTAGCTGCTTCTAGACGCGTCTATCTACGTCTGGCTGCGTCTAGATGTCTTTGGCTGCGTCTAGATGCGTCTGGCTACCTCTAGCTACGTCTAGATGCCTCTCGCTGCGTTTAGATGCCTCTCGCTGCGTTTAGATGCCTCTCGCTGCGTTTAGATGCCTCTCGCTGCGTTTAGATGCGTATGGCTGCGTCTAACTGTCTTTGGCTACGTCTATCTGCCTCTAGCTGCGTCTAGACGCGTTTATCTACGTCTGGCTGCGTCTAAATGCCTCTGGCTGCGTCTAGATTCGTCTGGCTACCTCTAGCTGTGTCTGGCTGCCTCTAGCTGCGTCTAGACGTATTTATCTACGTCTGGCTGCGTCTAAATGCCTTTGGCTGCGTCTAGATTCGTCTGGCTACCTCTAGCTGTGTCTGGCTGCCTCTAGCTGCGTCTAGACACGTCTATCTACGTCTGGCTGCGTCTAGATGCGTCTGGCTGCATCTAGATGCGTCTGGCTGCGTCTGACTGCCTCTAGCTACGTTTGACTGCCTCTAGCTACGTCTATATACATCTGCCTATGTCTTTCTACGTCTGGCTGCGTCTATCTACGTTTGGCTGCGTTTGGTTCCGTCTGGCTGTGTGTGGCTGCGTCTAACTGGAAACGAGAAGTGTTGGATATTAAATATAGAAAATTATACTGGTTGATAATTTGAAAATCGAAACTTTCAATCTAAAATAAACTTTTAATATATAAACAAGTACTGAAGCCAATATGAAGTTACGGCATACAGCTCTGGGGGTGTGCCAATAAAACTAACAAATATAATACAACGTTTCCAGAACAAAATATTTAGGGCAATAGTAAACGCCCCTTGGTAGGGTGAATCTGAATCTAAAAGTTCAATATCATTTAACAAGCGTTACCCATGATTAGAAAAAAAAGAAAAACGTAAAAAATTACCATGGTTCCTGGAGTAGGTTCTGATGAATGAACATTAGTTGAGCGGCTCAGATCCTGATGACCATTGAATTGTCTGTGGAGTGGTATAAAGTTCCTATTTTGGTTGACTTGGGAACTGGAGAACTAGCAGCCCCTCTTCAGATAGAGCAAGGTTTTCCTCCATTAAATACTGTTAGACGAAAGTATAAACCAAAACTGTTCGATTATGAACAGAGAGATGAGACACCTCAAGATTCAAAAGCACCGTTTAAAATAAATTTCTTTTTAAAAATAATTGATCAAACACTAAGTTCTTTAAATAGTAGATTTGAAATGATATCTGATTACAACATTTTTGGTTTTTTTAGTGATATTTTAAAATTAAATGTCGTGCTCTACAGCAAAAGCTAACTGATCAGAAAAAGGAGAATACAATGATTTATTTAATGAGATAAAAGCCCTAATATTGTTTTCATTACCCGAAGCGTCAAATCCCCCCGACATTTTACAATATATATTTGAGAACAATCTAACTTCATCTCTACCAAATATTACCGTTTCGTTAGGAATCCTGCTTACTTTACCTGTATCTGTAGCTTCTGGTGAGAGATCCTTCTCAAAATTAAAAATACTTTTAGTTTTGTACATCTTGTGACAATAGTTAAATTGACGTTTTTAAATATTTGATATAGTTGTCTGCTATCATTTGTTGGTATTGACCATACCCGGGTCCTTTCTTAGAATTGATATTTTCAATGATTTCCTTAGCTACCTCTTTAGGCGTTACCCTACGAATGTCTACTATGTTTGTGTTCTCTTGTTTTATTAAATCGAGTTCTCGTGACAATGATGTGAATAAAAATTGTTTCATGTTAGACAGTTTATACCGAAATACAGATGAACATTTAAAAAATATTCTAGGTATTATAAATGGAACTAGGCTGGCGCCTATTTAATTCAGAAACTTTCCAAAGGAAATAAAATTTCTGGTAACGACTAAAAGAAAATTTCTCGGTATACACAGCCTTCTTTTTCATTCTATATAAATCGCTTTATCTCTCTAAACATCTCACACAAAATTTTCCTGCCATTTATATCAGTGAAAAACTACCGAGCGGACGCATCAACGTTTCATGAAAAATAAACATTACACAGTCCGGAAAAATGCCCAGATATTTTCTTTTACAATTTTCATGTTGGCTATTTTCTCAGCGAGGCCAACCTCTTCTAATTCAGTCCGGAAGGTAAACTCTAACGTGGCTTTCAATTCACCCTGAATAGCATCTCAATATTTGATTATCTCCAAGGAAAACGAGTGAAAGAGAAGAACACGGTTTTGTTAAGAGTTGAAAGGTTTAAAGATAGAAAGTAAAAGTTTCACTTTATTCCAGTTATTGTATGCCAAGAAAAGCTTGATACAAACAGGAAAGGTTTAGAATGTTATTCAAAGAAAAATTAGGAAGAATTTTAAAATCTACACCAGCTATGTGACTTTGTTTTATGAGTATTTTGTAATAAAATTTTATATACCATTTAATTTAGGTAAAAAATATCTGGAAATGACGTTTTTCCAATTTGGAGCTACAAGATCTGAGTATATGTGATGTAGGTTTAAGTCATCTTGTTTAAACATAATAATTAGATTTGCATTGCCTCTAATCAATTGTTTCGGAATCTCCGAATACGTTTGAGCCAAATAAAAGCAATCAATATTTTTGTGTCGCCCCTTACTAAAATATGATCTAATAGCATCTTGCTTTTCACAAATCACATCACCAAAATAAATATATAATTCGGTTTGGCATCTACTGGGTGAATTATATGTTCATTATTGTTAAACGTAAAATAACCTAACCCATTTATCTGAGTCAAAACTTGATGCAAATCGTACTTCTTCTATTATAAAGATTTTCAATAATTATGTTTTCAAATCGTAGCCCATTTGGTTGAATGAGTAGTGATAACATATTTGTTTAACCACAATTTGATGGACCTATTAAAGGACCGCGTATTATATCAGGCCAACTTTTTCATCTAAATTCTCTACAAAAATACTATTTTGTGCTTTGACTATGCGCATCGTTTGACTGTCTTTAGTTATATAAGCGACCACCTCATGTGCCATTTATTTAAATGTCTATCATCAAGCGTTATTAAAAAATAATGTGGAAGTGGATTTGTTAATTCTCTAATAAATAAATTACCATTTGAACCACACATATCTTAGCTGTTTATTTTCATTTTAACTCGTATGTATACAAAAAATATTTCATTTTACTGCAAATTTTATTTGCCTGTTCCTTGTTTGCTATCGGGATTTGAAGTAAACTTTGTTCAACTTTGCCTCTACATAAAACCGAATCAAGTGAATGTGGTCACCAGAATGTGAAAAAGGCTTTATTTACATTTTTCTTTCAGTTTGTTGAAAGCGTTGCAAGCGTAGCAACATATGTTCTGCTTATTTTCTTTCCACGTTTTAAAATATCAAGAATTCAGGACAATAAGCCATTTCTTTTTTTATCCGATGTAAGAGCTTTGGGGATTACGGTTTTTTTCAGGTTAATGTGTATCTCAGCTATTTTTAGGAAAGATTTTATTTGAAACATCTTTGTTAAATAACTAAATTAATACACGAAAGACTCGGATTTTAAACTTATGGGGTAAAAGGTTTTATTTTCCTAATATAGGAATAAAACAGATGAAAAACCTATTCTGTGATATAGTTAAAACACAAACGTATAATGTTAATAATTTATTAAATAATGTCTTAACTATAAAACTATAAAAATAATAATATTAATAAAAATAATGAAAAAGGTCCAAACTTAAACCTGTCCATTTTTAATAAATCCAATAACCAAATCCCAAGAAAATACCAAAAAATACCAATTAATAGATGTAGAAACTAAAAATAAGGTAACATTATTATGGAAAATCAAGAATTACCCAAACAATTTTAAAGATCCTAAGGAACAATCCTTGGAACTCTACTACATCAAGGATTTCAGTTGTCCAATTAATAGATTTATACTTTTTGCCAACGATATTCTGATGACTGGTTTTCAAGTAATGCTTTGAAGCTAAATATCACAAAATTCAAATTGTTAATTTCCCTTTTTGGTAAAAATAATAATAACACAAATAGTGCCAAAGTATTAGATATACACCTTGATGGAGGTTTAAACTGGTTCATCAACATCAACGAATTGAGTCAAAAACTTGACCGAGAAGTCGATCTTCTTAGGGCCGATTCCACCGTTGTATTAAACGAAGTTTAAAATGACATTTTTACATTAACAGTGTCATTTTAATATCCGTTTAACACAACGGCCCTTAGACAATTAAGGTATATTTATGGTTGCGAAATTTTTTGTTTGGAATAATGACGTATTAATTTGACAGTAAACATGTCTCAAAAAATGGTTTTAATGTAATAAAATTGACAAATTGACAGGCAAAGTTTAAATTGTCATGTAGTAGTCAAAATTGTCTGGTAAATGTAAGAAGTACAAAATTTCGGTTTAAAATGAAAACATGAAATGTGGAACAGTTTGCCTTAAATGTCAGTGTCGCAGGTGTCTACCCCAAAGCTTTTTCACCAAACTACTACCAAAAGCGTGCTGCATCAAATTTTTTCTATTAGTGTCTGTTATTTTATGTTGTCTATATTATTTGTTTAACTCGTATACAGCGTGTGTACCATTTGCTAATTCTCCAATGTTATACTAAAAGGTTATGGCATATTATATGGATAATGGCTACAAATCAGGTAGGGGTTATCATAACAAATTTCCCATAAGCAAATCATGGTATAGCACAACTAACCCAAATCATCTTTGCTGTAAGAATCGATGTAACAAATCATATTATTCATATAAATGTTGCTGCCGGAACTCAAAATCACCTCCAAATTGTGGTTGCTGTAAATGCAACTATTGTTGCTGCAAAGAAGAAAAAGCGGAATCCCATAAGTTTATAGATTACGCTGATGCTTCAATTTCTTCAGCAAAGTTAACCGAAGAAACTACAGAACAAAAACAAACATTTGTTATTTGTACAAAAGCAAACGTTTCAGTCCAATCCAGCGAAACATACTGCGGTTGTTATAAATTGAACACTCTTCCACCAGTATCTCCTAACTGTTTGAAAGTAGAACCTGATTTGGAACAATTAAATAATGGTTTACATATAAACAATTCCTTTCCTATTAATCAGCAGGTGCCAATACTATCTACTTGTATTAAAAGAACAGAAATTTGTAACAGTGTGTGTCCCGCTGCTCGTTGTTTTAATTTCGAAAAACAAATCGAATTAAATCCGTGCGACAAAAATGTTAATATTAACGTAGAAGTTAAAGTAAAAAAGAAAAAGAAGAAAGAAGATATTGGTTATCGTAAAAAATGTAAATGTAAAAAGCAAGAAGAGGAGTTAGTTATTTTAGAACCCTGTGTTTGTATTAAAGAACCGAATGAAGATGTAATAAAAAAGTGTAAATGTGAAACAATGAAATCTTGTATAATACCTTGTCCTAATATACAACAAGACCAAAGAAAATGCACTTGTGAGAAACCAAAACCTATTACATACTGTGTATCGACAAAAAAGGAACCTTCAAAAACATTTTCATGTGATACACCTGAACCTGTAACTATATGTTGTCCACCTTGCCAGTCTCCAGATAAATCAAAAATTTTTAACATTCTAAATAATTTTTGTAAGTCAAGAGATTCTAAAACAGAAGATACTAATGGAAGTAATGTTTTCGTTTGTAAACCTATAAGCCCAAACGATCTAACGTCAATGATAAAAGGTCTGAAAAATTGTCTTCCAAACTGTTCACATAAAAAGCACTCGATTTCACCTTCTGATTGCGTTAAAATGTTCAAAAAAAAATTGGACAAACAAAAAACCGAGAAGTCTAAAACATCAAAGAATCACATAGATAGTACTAATTCGGATATCACCCTGGATATGTTGAAGAAAAACCCATCGTCAAAATATAATGGGCAACACAGTCAAAGAAAATTGAGTTCTTCAAGATGAATTTTTGAAAATTATATTAATTTAATACCTTTCCAATAAAGGAATAAATTATTTCAGAAACTATGAGAAAATTAAGTGTAAAGGTTAAAGAAAAAGTCCTTTATTTCTCACAAGTCTTGTGAGAAATAAAGGACCTTTTCTTTAACCTTTACACTTAATCCCTACTACTCACATATGGCTACCCTCACTCCAAAACTATGAGAAAAGTAACATATTTCTAAAATAAATTATTATATTTGAATAAAGATCTTTAAAAATCAGATTTTTTGTAGTTTTTTTTATAAACATTTATACATATTTAAAAGTTTTTACACCGTCAGGGAATTTTAATTAACCTCATTTATTTGCTATGTTGTATATAGGGTATA